CAGTCGCCGTTGTAGTTGCTGTCGTCGCTTAAGCCGTTTTGGCCCCGTTTACAATGGCAGCACGTCGTCCGCACTACCAAGTCCCCCAACTTGGTAACTCCCAGCTGGGAAGCAGTGTGCAAATATTTGTGGCTGAAAATTAATGTCCGACAAGCCAGCGGCGGCATGGACAACTTTCTCTGATAATTGGCCCACTGCACTGGGCCCGCTTAAGTGGCCGGCCAGCAGTTTGATTTATTCCCGCTCCCTGGGCTGAGACTCTGGCACTCCGATAGCCAGGTGCACGGATCGGATGCATCCCCGGTGGCCACTCAAACGGCAAATACACAACATTTACAACTGTGCTAGCCAAGGACCCAGCAGTTGCACAATGCACTTTTGGGTCTGGCAACTGATAAGAAGATAAATGAGCGCGCTAGGTCGCCAGGAGTTAAGTCCTGCACTCAGAAAAGGATATGCCATGACTTATCGAATTGCGCAAGCAATGAACTTTTTGAAGCCACTGCTAAATGTGAAGGATGTGCCAAGGACTTTGCTGGCATTAATGAGTTGTTTCATTACTTTCCTTGGGAAAATTATAATTGCATTTTCTTTGCAACTACAGTACTGAACTTCTGCATAACATGTACCTACAAAACCGTAAAACGCACTTTATTTCACAGCTAATGAACTATGCTAACGATTTGCATATTGATTGGGAATTTAATAACGAGTTTAACGAGGTATAGCATTCCTATTTAGGGAAAATATTTCTGTTGTTGCGGAAAAAATGCGTTTATTTTTTTTGACGGAAAATGAGGAATGTGGTATTGCAAAAAATAAGACATATACGATGAAGATTTTCAGCATAACTTGGCTAAAAATAGTCATGCAGCGAAAATAAAGACTGTTTTGTATAGCTAATAACCACCGCTAACGACCTACATCACTTTTTGGCCGATCTAGGAAAATGTATTTTTCAATAAATTTTCACATTTTTACAAGTGGTACCATCATAAAATTTTGAAAAAAATTGCAAAATTTAAAATTTGAAAATTTGAACGCAGTTTGATTGGGAAAGTAATTACGAGCTTAATGAGGTATAACATTCCACATTTGAACCATTATTTCCCAAATTCTGATGAAAAATCTGATTATTTTCCGTAACATTAAACTGGTTTTGTATCTAAACTTGATTTTAACATACCGTAGAGAATAACAGAATATAAACTAAAGTTTTGTTTAAAGTGTACAGCTAGTAAATTCATTGAGATGGCTAGGAAATGGCATTTGAAAGTTTTATGATCGTATAAAACAGCGGCGAGCTGTCTCCCATTTAAGCAGCACAGCCCTGCCAGGATATGCAAAGTGGTGCCGAGACGGTGTCCTCCCAAAAAGCTGCCACTCCTCTATCTTTGTTTGTTTGTTGGCTCAGACTGCCGTAGGCCGGCACATGCGAACTGCAAATTATGAGCGATGGCATCGCTGTGCGTCTGAACGGAGTCTTGGGCTATATACCCCGATACGGCTTTGGATCTGGCTCTACTACCGTGCGATGCCACATTTGGCATTGCTCATATGACGTGTGGTCGCAATATGCATTGTTGCGTGTCCTTCCGGAAACAGCTGTCAGTACACTGGAATATGCAACTACTTTACAGCTGGACTGTACAAATTATATACCTAATATGAATTATATAAAATCTGAGCTGTGCTAAACATTCAAGTTATTTTAAATGCAATCTAATAGCCAATGTTGATACCGATCCATTCAATAGTAGAAGGTACATAGTTGGTTACCCACTTTGCTAAAATTTTTTCTCTGCATTGGTTGTATGGAACTGCATGCTGCGAGTGTCTACGGCACTGCACTTTTGCCGATTGATGCCTTTGGCATGCTTTTGTGTTTGGCTCCAGCTGCAGTTTCATCTACATCCTCAGTTCCATCCTCATTCTCATCCGCATCCGCATCCCCATCCCAATCCGCATCCGCATCTCCATCTGCTCGCAATGCCGCAGCCTGAGTGATGTGGGGCCTAATTTATGGCCCGGTTTGCCTGCTGGCCCGTTCTGCATACCGAAATGGCAAACGGCCACTGTCAAAGCAGGAGAGCAACAGAAACTGCAGCGGCGACTGCAGAAAATTGCATGGCATTAGATCGCCGATTGCCCCCGCAACTGGGCTCCTATAAATTGCATTGCATACCTCGGCGCGCTGCTAATTATGCAACCCAACCCAAGCCTACCCAAGCCGAGCCGCTCGATCCAATCCAATTCAATCCAATCGGATCCGGTCCGTTCCGTTCCGTTCAGCTGCTGGCCTCATAAATATGCATTACAGCATATACTTTCACCTGTCGCTGGACGCGGCATCAATCAACGTCCATTAAGCCGAAGAAGTGCGCCAGGAAACGGAAGTGTGGCACACATACACGCGTACGCAGGTGCCACTTGAAGGACGAGTCACGCAGAAAGGAAATCAAAACAGGGAAAGGGGAAAACATCCCCTTACCGAACACAGAACGATCAAAAAAATGTATTTCTTTATTTGTTCAGGCCTATACCATCTATTTTTTTAAAGATAATCAGTATATCCTTTCATAGAAGGAAAAGTCCCAGTTTTTTCGATTAAAAATCCGTTTGAAGGCCTCTTGAGATCATTTGCCATGTAGCCATTTTCACTGAACTCAAACGTAGCATATTTAACATGTCTGCTGGTCATCAACTAACAAACAATCTGCCTCCGTTTCCTTGGGCTGCGCAGGAAGGCAGCCTGTCAACTGAGTCTGCACCAATTCTCCGAGTGAAAAGCACACACACACACACGCACATATCGTCGTCCTGTCAGCGGCAACAACAAATGATAAAATGTTTGCGTCCAGCCAGCGACTTTCTCTTACTTTCATCTCCATGCGGAGAGAGGGTGTGGAAAGCGAAATAATTTAATTTCGCCTGCCATGTTCGCCGCAGGCCGTCGCCCGCTGAATTTGTTTTATTAAAAACTGTGCACTATACGCTGGCAAATGAAAGAAATGAAATCAAATACTCAAAAATGAGCAAATAAGGCGAAAGGAAGGCGGCGACAACGCAACGCAACGGAAAAAACAGGAACAAAAATGTACAAAATATGTATCCGATGGGGCTTGGCAATTTTGTAATTTCTTGGGGTAAGTCTGCAAAACGCTTTGTTTTGTAGATTTCCTTTGACGGCTTGACGGTTATTTAATTTGCTCTCCCCCAGAAATTGGGCCACGAAATCTACGTAATCCCCAGTTCCATGACAAAATGTTGATGCTAATGCTGTAAATGCTCGGCCATCATTTGTCTTCATTCATCTTTGCCAATTGTCCACCCATTCGAGTTTCGAACGCCACTCGAAATCATTAATTTCAAATATTATCCCCGACTGACAAAACCCCACAGTGAATGGTAAATTGTAATACGAGCGGCATATTCATAAATATGAAATAACTTCGGTGCCATTTAGCGGCAAATAATTTGCAACAGCCACGCCCACTTTTCAGTGTTGCTACACAGGGAAAAAAACCTGCTCAAATCCTGGCTACCTGTGGAATAATATTTTACCTCGTTTTTAAGCAAATTGTATAAATTCTTTTACAGAAATGAATTAATAGCTAAACGGCAATCATTAAAAGTAGTATGCTTAGTGTCCTTGTACTTTTTCTTAGAGTGCCTGGTCCTTTTTTCATATTTATCGTTGCCTTTCCCAGTTCTTTATTAAGCAAACTAATCATGACCCTTTGTGGCCGACACGTGGCTGATAAAAGCGGACCCGGGGACAGCAAATAATGTGCGCTCTGATGGTCTGAATGGGCCCAGGATGCCCGGCTATAGGACTACAGGATCCTTCGCAACAGCTTCTGAATTCGGCATTCCCATAACGCCGAGCATATTCAAGGTTCGTCCAGGCAAATCCTTTAAGTGTCATTCGGTGGCCCTTGAATTCGGTTGCAACGTTTGCTCTAGTTTTTCCTCGGGTTTTTTCCCTTTTTTTGCCCGAGTTGTTTGCTCACTTTTTATGCGTTTGGATTTGCACATTTGGACACTAGTTAATTATGTTCTTAGTCCCTTTTATGTCACAATTTTCATTTGGCAACATCAAATAAACTAAATGTCCGGCAGGGGCACGGCCGGAAAATGGCGCACGATTTCGGGGGAAAACTGTCTACCGCAATTGTCGTGGCAAGGTAAACAAATATGCGTGTATGGCTGGCTGGCTAACTACATTGCCCATTGGCTGCAGTCCTGATCCTGGGGTTCCTGGTGTTCCTGGGGTTCCTGGGGTTCCTCGGGTACCGAGTGGGGTGGATTGGGATGGTTTTGGGGTGGAACAAATGTGCCTATTTGTAGCTGGTGTGGGGTCCTTTGGTGCGGTCGTCTGCTATAAAATTCTGTGCGGAATGGACATTCGGACTTTTAATATGCTCGAGTAATGTCTGCATTAACAGAATTCATTTGCAGGACATGGCCAGCAGCCAGGACAACCCCATCCATGTGAGCTTGTGTCTGTGTGTGTGCGTCCGCATGTTGTGTTGGTGTGGAGAAAACAAATTTATGTCGTGCTACTTGCTGAAATTGGATTTCTGGCCGCTGCTCCCCTTGGTTGTTATTGTTGTCGTCACATCGTTGCTTTTTAGTCACCGAAATGAGAGGAAAACCCAAGGAGAAATACAAAACTCAACCCACACGACAAGGGCTGGGGCTTGAAGTTTGTTTCCATTCCTGGTTTTAGTACGTGTAATCCTTTTTCATGATTTGCACGCCACTTCAGAGGACATTTGTCGGCCTTGGCATTAGTCTCAGGTTAGTCGTTTGTCCTCAGCTCAGCTCAGCGCAGCTCAACTCAGCTCGACTTTCCCAGTCGTAATCAAGTTGAATGCCTCAATTAGGTGGCTGTCTCTACCTCGAAATTGGAATGACCTGGCACGTGTTTTTATTTTCATCTTTATCTATTTATTGTCTAATTTTAATGGTCCATCGCTTCGCTCTGTCCGTTGCAGAATGGCAAATTGCCCAGGAGCCTGCCCGCACTGCGTGCCATGGAAATGGCGTTGCGTACCAACTCCTTTGCCACGCCCCCTCCACCGCCCCATGCCCCACTCCCCCCTCGCGCAGCAAGGACCGAAGGAGGCGGACAGGACATGGAGGACTCTGACGAGGAAATGGAGTACATGCCGCCGCTGCACAGTGAGTACAGTTGCACTGCCGCGAACTTAATATAAAAACTAAATATATTATTAAGGAAATGCTACAATAAGTACGATTATTATATTGTACTTTCCAATCAATGAAATTAAATATCAAGCTATCTCATAAGAAATAAGATAGGCCTTATAATTCGCAAAGAAAAACTTTAAAATGTGTTCGACATATAAGATTACACCATGTCTCAGTATTTTTTGGCGGTGTAAGAGCGCCTTTCCCCGTCCAGCGGCAAATTCAATTAAAAATTTTTGAAACTGCTCCACCTGCACGTGCGTGACGAGCTTCTGACGTCCGGCAGCACCTGACCATCCTGGCCATCCTGGCTATCCCGGCTATCCAGCCATCCATGGGTCCTTTGGTCCAGTGGTCCACTGGCTCAGTGGTTCAGTGGTTCAGTGCTCCGTTGTCAGAGGCACTGTCAGGCGTTTCAATTTACTTTTATGTCTCGCAGCCTTATCGCGGCGCAAATTGAAATGAAATCTTGACACAATCAGCATGCCCATGCCACCGGCAGCGCAGATTCCCACATACAATTAAGTTAAACGCTGACCATCAATTATGGGACGAGCTCTAAGGCAGCTGGGTGCCGGTGTGTTCCGCAATGGGCAAAAGTTTGCAGCCCAAATATATATCTTTGTATATTTATCCCAGGGTGGTAAATAGACAAGCAGGACAGAAAAAAACAAAAAAAAAACAAAAAACAAACCAGCCAGGGGAAGGCCAAGTCACAGCGGCAAAAAAATGTCAACTTATGAGAAAGTCCCTGCCCTTTTCTCCCCACTTGCCGGTTGTTCCGCTACAGATAATATCAAAAACTTTGCTCGGCAAACAAAAGCCTTGTAGCACTGGCAAATGGTCTCGAAATCTCCTCCAAACTCGCCTGTTTATTTATATTAATATTTTTATCATTTTATGACGACTCTACAAATGTGGAAGACGCCGTCCTGGTTGTGACCACCTTGAGCCGGGATTGTGGCCGAAACTTTTCTGCAACTTAAATTCACTTTATTTGCTCGTTGTGTTGAGCAACCGTATTAATCCGCTGAGCAGAGCACCATTTACATTTCATTTGTGCGGCACGCCCGTAAATATGATAGAATAATGAATATATAAATCAAACGAAACTTTCTTCGTTACGCCTTGTGTGGTTGGTGTTTAGCATTTTGTGTAATAAATCAATAGTGGCATTTTTGTGTGCACATTAACTCTTTTCAGGGCGGGATGAAAAAGGATTATTGCATGTTTTGGGTATAAGAATAAAATATTTAAGTTCGCTTGGAATTTAAAAACACTTATTAAGTAAGCTAATACTTTAAGTAAGAAAGTAGGCAAACCATGTATACTTTCTGATCACTACTGGCTTTGTTCACTACAAAACTAAAGTTTAACCTACTTAAACTATTAGAACTGCATAAATATAGTTAAACAAATGCATTATATTTACATCGTGTTCAAATTAAGAGGGCTCAAACTCAAGGGGGAATTAACATCAGCTGGCTTTCGTCTTCTCCTGCTTTTTCCTCCTTTAAAAAGCCCGCGGCAGCAGCTGTAAGTGCTTCGCTTTGCAGCTGTTCCAATTTTTAGTGTAAATAACCCCGACAGCAGCCCTGTTTTTGTCCCCGCCTTGAGTTTTCCCAGCCAACCCATCGCCATCCGCCCATCCATTTTCCACTTTCCACTTTCCACGCTTTCCCTCTTCGGCACACTTGTCAATATGAAAATGTTGCTGCTGGGCCGCTGATGTTGCCGGTGGCGCTGCCGTTGCTGCCGTTGCTGCTGCATTTTTTCGCTCACCTGAATGTTTGTTCAGTCAGAAAGTTTTGATTTATTTACGGCGCAAGTTTTACATTTTACACGACACTCGCCTCCAATTACACGCCGCTGCCACTGGCACAGCCAGCAACCCTTCCAACTGAACTCATTTGCACCTCAGCAACCCTCGGCTGCAGCCCTAAAAATAAAAAAAAACCTAAAAAAGTAAAACTGAAATGCTTTCCTTCAGATTTTAATCGCTCACGTGAGTCCTGCCAGTGTGCGTGTGAGTGTGAGTGTGAGCGCGCAGTTGCTGTTTGTGTTCTTACATATTTAGTCGCAGGATAATATGTCGCCAAGCTGCTATCGCTATCGCTGTTGCTGTATTACTTTCTGATTTTCCTGCTCGTGTTGCTGTTGCCGCCAACTTTCCATCATTGTCGTCACGGCCAACTTGGTCATTTGCATATTGCAGCAGCTAGGGTTCCAGTCAGACATGTGCTAGTATTCCAGAAGTAGGTCTAATCAAGCATTCAATCATATTTAATATAATATAATAAATAAAATAAAAACAAATTTATTTTATATATTTGGTGTGTAAAATGTAAGCAATTTATTTACTACAATATACCTTGCTTATAAAGTTTATTTATACAATTTAAGTTATGCGTGCGACAAGTTCCTTACTTTTCGGTCGCTTTTCCCAAGCTTAACCCCTTCTTTCACGAAGGTTTTTTCGCTGGTGTTGCATGCAACACAACCGATATCTGTTACACCATCGACGTCATTTTGTCCTCGTTTGTGTTTGTGTTTGTGCAGGGCCCATGAATATGCAACGCTGAGTTTGCTCGTTATTCCGCCCTGCAAGATTGGTATGGGTATCCGTATCCGTTTCCGCTTTGCGGGAAATCGATCGGGGTCCGCTTTGAGATACCAAAAAGAAGATTGTCGCTTTGGAGGCTCATCTCGGAACTACAGGAAGCATACTTAAATCAGTAGTCTGATCAAACCTTACTTATAAGCTAGGAAAGCAAGCAAACTACTAGTGCCTGTTAAACGTAGAAATGCAGGACATTCCGTTTGCCTTATGAACTTAAGCAGCTCTCCCGCATTCAAGTGACCTTGAAGGAGGTGGAAGGGAATATTCCTGACCAAAAACCAAAGCCATTTGCGACTTAGACGCATCTTGGCCACTTTTCCCTCCACACGGCCGCAAAACGCCGCCCAGACTTTTGGGCCCAACGTCTTTGGAGGTCTGCGTCTAATACGCTCTCGGCGAAGAGTAACAGTTGCTAAAATGTTTTCCATTGTTTTCACGCTCAACAAAAGGCAGACAATTAGTTTTCTTAAACGACAAATCAAGTAGAAATTAAGTGGTGGCGGGCAAGGGCAAAAGCAAAGGCAAAAGCAGCCGCAGCGAGCTGAGTGCTGCTGGTGGTGGGTGGTTTAGTGGGTGGTTTTGTGGGTGGTTTTGTGGGTGGTTTACTGGGTGGTTCGATGGCTGGAGAGTGATAACAAAACAAAAGTGGATTATTGGCTCTCGAGCGCATAAACAATGGCATGTGGGCCTGTGTGTTTCTGGGCCTTTGTTTGTTTGCCCAGTGTAAAGCGTTTAAGAACACTCCACTCACGACTGTGTGGCTTTTGCATAATGAGTAAAAAGGCGCTAATGTAATCGGCAGTCGAAACCGCTGTTAGAACTAGAACTTATTAAGAAATATGATAAGGCAGATTAACAGAGTGGCTGTGTATAACACACAAGTATGCCATAATCATCAGGAAAAGTAGGGAAATTTTCCTAGGAGTGAGCACAAAGGAAATCGCGGAAAACCTTTAGTCAAGGCAGCAACCTTTTCGAGATTCCACACGCGCATGCCTGGGAGAAAGATTTTCCCAACAGCACTTCGGCGCCACTCGGGACTTTTCCTTTTGGCCAGCACGAATGGTAAACGTTCGGCAAGGATGAAAGATTTTCGGAGCGGCAGCGACGCCGGCAGAATAACGGTAAACGACCGGAGCGGTACGATGTGTTGACTATTTGTGAGGCGGACGAAGGCGCTTCGCTTTCAGTTTGAATTGTGTCCTCGTTAAGAAAGGATATTCGTTACATTGTTGTTAAGTTGTTATTATAATTTCACAAACAAACCAACCAACCAACCAACCAAAAGCAAACCGAAAGCCAACTGCTCGCTAAAGAGAATTCAAAATAAAAACCGAAAAGTAAGAAAAAGCGAGAAAAAGGAAAATCCAGCAATCGACGAAGTGATACAAACGAAAGCCGAACAAATGAAAAACTAACTAAGAATCAAACTAAATATAAATCTGCAGAAAATAAATATTAAAGCTTGGAAAATTAAAGAAAATATTTATAAATCGTTTATATGTTTATTTAGTAACTAGTTTTTCACTTTTATTTAAGCTGAGTGCCTGCTGTTTCAGTGTTTGAAAATGATATGATATGATTTGGTGTTACTGGTTTTTCAAAAGACTTTTGTTGCATAAACTTTCCAAGTGTTTCGAACTGCAAGATGTGTGAATCGGAATTTATAAAGTGTGATTTAGAGATAGCGTTTTTTTTAGTACAGATTTTTAAAGTTATTTAAACATTGGTAAAGATTTTCATAGAAAATCGATTCGAGTTGTGAATTTTTGAAATCGCCTAACCCGTTTTGAGTTCCTTGGCTTCGTTGTCACCCAGGCGAGCATCGATTTTGGCCATATTTACATAGCCAGCCAGAACGCTTTTTGCGTGCATGTATTTTGTTGTGCCTGTTGTGTTTTTGGCCATATCCACATTATGTACAACTACAGGCGTCTGGCACTTCGGCTTGTGGGCCACATAAACCGACAACGAGCAGCCAATAAATGCTGCCTGCCGACTGGGTTTCTATATAAAAAGGACACTGCAGCTGTGTGTGATTCATACTCTCATTCTCCGGCAAACACACTCGCACACACACACACACACACACGCCCAGAAATACACTCGCCTGAGAAAAAAAGAGGGAATGCTGGGTGCCGTATGTATTTTGTATTTTTGGTGCGGCCCTTGCACTCGTCCTGGTTTTTTCTTCGCTTTATCCTTGCGGCCGCGAGTGCTTCCGTGTGTCCTGGGCCCCCAAATAAACATAAAAATATAAGTTTATATTTATATTTATACATAGCATTTGTCTGCCCTCCTCGTGCGCGAGATATAAAAACCGGAAGCGTCTGATCCTGACACTTGCCAA